ATCTGAGTTCAGCTAGGAGCTTGTGCCCAGGTCCATATGAATTCTCTACTAATAGACTATGGAGGCATGCGTCATAAAGCAAAGTATTTAATTGGCACAGGATAAAAATCCAATAATGGGAAAATCGAACAATGAAACTATCAATCCCTCATACCCAGTCCCTCCACTAATCTTGACCCCCACCCTGTACACAAAATACCACAATTTCCCACATACTAATGTGCTAGTGGGGAATAGATCTGGCACAGTGGGTAGAGCTCTGGGCCCAGAGTCAAGAAGACCTGAGTTCAAATCCAACTTCAAATATTTACCAGGAGTGTTATCCTAGACAAGTCACTTGATCCTTGTTTGCCTCTGTTTCCTCATCTGTAAAATGGGAATAACAATAGTATGTACTTCACAGGGGTGTTTTGAAGATCAAAGGAGATAATTGTAAAGTGCTTAGCACAGTTCCAGGAACATAGTAAGCACTATCATCTGTTGGCTATTTCCATGAAGACTCATCTTTCAAAGAGGGAATTTGACTTCACAGCTAGAAATTCCTGCCTGAGTCCACTTTGTTCTTTTTAAAATAAGCTTTATTGATATGTTTTGTTTTCACATTACAAACATTTACAGATTATCTTTACCCTGTGAAATCTTTCTTTTAGCAAAGCAAAACTATTAAGCAAAACTAACAATACAATGGCCTTGTATGAAAGTGCATGCCACATTCTATATCTATAGCCCCCCCCCCATTTTTAGGTGTTTTAAAAGATTAACATAATCTATTTTTTCTCCTTCCCACCCCCCAATCTCCTAAAAAAAGAGAAAAGCAAAGTAAATTCCTTTAAATGAATAGGCAGTCACGCAAAACAAATTCTAATGTTGGCTGCATGTAAACATGTGTGTATATATGTAAACATATGTATATATGCATACATATACATCTATGTACACACATGCATACATATATATACTAAATGTATGTCTGATTCTATACCCTAAAACTATCACCTTTCGGTCAGTAAATAGATAACATGTTCCATCATCAGTCCTCTGAAATCGTGGTGGTTATTGTATGAATCATAGTTCTATAGCTTTCTTTACAGTTGTTATTATGTACATTGTTCTGGTTTTGCTAATTTCATCAGCTTATAAACATTTTCAAAATTGTACACTTTTAGGAGGAAGGGAAGAAGTATTTGTTAAGGACCTACTATCTACCAGGTACTGTGCTAAGGACTTTATTGTACTTATTCTTATTTCAACCATGGGAGGCAGATGCTATTATGATTCTTATTTTACAACTGAAGAAACTGAGGCAGACAGAGGTTAGGTAACTTGCCAAGGGTCACACAGTTGGTAAGTATTTCAAGCTGTATTTGGACTCAGGTCTTCCTGACTCTAGTCAGTCAATAAATATTTATTAAGTGCCTACTAATGACAGCTATTGTACTAAGTGCTCCAGACCCAGTGCTCTATCCACTGTGCCACCTAGCTACATCAATTTTACAATTATTTCTTCTGGTTCTGCTCTCTTCATTTTACATCAGTTCATATGAGTCTTTCCTTGCTTCTTTGAAATTATTTCCTCAATTCTTATAGCACCTCTACCTCATTCATATCAATTGATAGACATCTCTTTAGTTTCTTGTTTTTTTGCCACTACAAAAAGTGCTGCCATACATATTTTTGTATGTGTAGGACCTCTTCCTGTTTCTGTAGTCTCTTTTGGGTATAGGCTTAGCCATGGCATCACTAGGTTAAAGAATATCTACTGCTGAGCAACTTTTTGTGTATAATTACAAATTGCTTTCCAGAATGGTTGTATCCATCACAGATACCAACAGTGAATCAATGTGCCTGTTTTTCCACAGTCCCTTCAATATTCGTCACACCCATCAGATGGACAAAAAGGGAAAATTACAAATGTTGGGGGTAAGCATTTATTAAATGCATGCTATGTTCCAGATACTGTGCTAAGAGTTTTACAAATAATATCTCATTTGATCCTAACAACAACCCTGGGAGGTAGGTGATATTATTATCCTCATTTTACAGATGAGGAAATTGAGGCAGATAGAGGTTAAATGACTTGCCTAGGGTCACATAGCTAAGAAGAGTCTGAGATTGGATGTGAACTCTGGTCTTCCTGACTCCAAGCTCCTTGATGTAGTCCAGGTATTCTAATCCTATTTGGACCTAGCCTGTACCTTCTTCTTTGAGGCAGGGAAATTTGCTGCCCTACTGCCTCACCTGCCAGCTGCGGAAGTTTTGACCTCTCTTCCCTCTCCTAAGCTGTCTGTTAAATGTGTATCTTCTGCTGCTGTTTTCCACTCTCCTTCACTGTTCATCAGCTGTGGGGCATTGTTATTTCTTTTTAGAGTGAGACTGCCCAGACAACATGCCTTGGGTGACTCAATACACCTTCAACTCAAACAGTTCCATAGCCCCACCTTATTAATACACAAAAGGGCTGCTCAGGAAATAGAATTCTGGCTTTCCTCTCTCTCTATGGCAGCTCTTAATCCTAAGTTAGGACTGAATGAATTCCTTTTACTTCTTTCCTGTCCCAGGGAAAGTGCTTGGACCCTGCCCTCTCTTCATACACATACTTAGCACCTTCTGAGGAATCTGTCTTTGAGGCTTAGTATAAGCATCCAAAAATGAAATGTGCTGCCTGGCAGGTAATAAGTTTCTCCTCCTAGGAGGTATTATTGGGGCTATTGTACAGAACAGTCCTGTAGTAGTAGTAGTAGCAGCAGCAGCAGCAGTAGTAGCAGCAGTAGCAGTAGTAGTAGTAGTAGTAGTAGTAGTAGTAGTAGTAGTAGTAGTTACTAGTAGTGGTAGAAGTAGTAATTATTATAGTTATTGTTATAGTAGTAGTAGTAATAGTAATAATAGTAATGGTAGTTGTAGTAGTAGTTCTTAGAATAGCTGTAGTACTGTTAGTAGGAGGAGGAACAGAAGTTACTACTACTAATAGTAATTATGGTGGTAGTAGTAGTAATAGTAGCAATAATAATAGTAGTTGTAGTAGTAGTTCTTAGAGTAGCTGTAGCAATAGTAGTTGTTGTTTGAGTAGTAGTAGTAGTAGTAGTAGTAGTAGTAGTAGTAGTAACAGTTGACATTTACTTATTACTTTAAGGTTTGTAAAGTACTTTATGCCCATTATCTCATTTGTTCTCCCCTGTACAGACATGGCTGGACTAAATGACTTCCGAGGTCCCTTCCAGCTCTGTTGTGTTATTCTCAGCAGAAATTTCTTATTCATTATGAAATGGAAACAGCACATACTGTGTTTGGAGAGCTGGTGTCCAGAATAACAGTTGCTTTTAAATTAAGGATGTAAGTCATACATGCACACTCTTCACAGTTTTGCTGCAGGTGCCTGCAGCACTGTGCCACCCCCAGGAAGGGCATCATACTCCACACATGGCACCAGACAGGCACCTTGTAAAAGTAAGTTTAGAACAATGCTTGTGTAAAAGGTGGTACTTTTTTGGGTGTGGGTGCAGATGTGGGTGGGGGAGGTCCCTATGAAGTGGAGGGAGATCTGCTTTGGAGGATTGATGTGTTAGCCTTTGGACTGCTACAATACAAGAAGCCAGAGAAAAAAAATGAAAGTGGGATGGATGGCTTATTGTTTCACTTGCAGGGGAAAAAATGAAGCATAATTGCCTAGTTCATTTAGGAGGCAAGTCCGATGAAAGGTTTTGAGGTGCTTTTTTGTCTTACTGAAGGGATGTAGGATGTTTCCTAGGACAGCTTCTTACTTCAGAAACAGTATGCTACGGTGGAAAGAGTAGCCGAGCTGAGATCAGGAGCAATTTGAGAGTTTGTTTTGTTTTGTTTTTCAAGATTAGTCTCTCTCTTTTCCCTAGGCTGTTGGTGCAATAGTCATGCATGAGCCTGGTCCCACTACTGATTAGCATGGAAGCTTTTGATCCGCTCAGTTTCCAACATTGCCACTCCCCACTCCTCCTCACTCACATAGTTTCCTGCCCAATGATCCTGACCCCCTTGCTGTTCTCACAAAACATTCTATCTCCTGACCCTGTTCATTTTCACTGGCTGTTCTACATACAGGGAACTCTCTCCCTCTTCATCTCTGCCTCCTGGCTTCCTTGTTTTTCTTTATGTTTCAGCTAACATCACACCTTTCCTCATCCTCTTTAATGCTAGTTCCTTCCATCTTAATGATCTCTAATTTATCCTGTTTATGTGCTCACAGGCAACTAGGTATATCCATTGCACCACCTCATGGAGAGAATATTGGACTTGTAGTCAGGAAGACAAGTTCAAATCTACCCATAGCCACTAGTTGTATGACCCTGGGCAAGTTACTTAAACCTGCCTCAGTTTTTTCATTTATAAAATAGGGATAATAAATAGTGCCTACCTCCCAGGGTTGTTGTCAGGATAAAAAAATTGTAAAGCATTTTGCCAACCTTAAATTGCTATATAAATGCTAGCTATCATTCATCTTATTGGTATGTAGTTGTTTGCATGCCATCTGCTCCATTAGAGTCCCTTGAAAGCTGGTATTGTATTATTCCTTTCTTTGTGTCTCCATCTCTTAGTACAATACCTGGCACATAGTAGGTGCTTAATAAATTCATATTGACTGATATAGACTGAACCTTTGATTTCAGTGATATATGGGACATCCCCCTGTAGAAGTTCTCTTTCTACCAACATAGGTGGCATGTTCTTTACAACTTAGTTTTAGAAAATCGAGATGTTAAGTAAGTTGCCCAGGGTCACACAGCCAATATGTGTCAGAGGACAGTGAATGAGTAAAGACCAATTCATCAAGAATCATCTGAGTCCAATAGCGTAAGCAACATTCCATACCCATAGCCCTCTACCTGCGTAAACAAGGGAAGAATATATTTTATCTTTTTTTTTTCCAAGGCCAAGTGTCTTGGCAATTTAAATTACACACTATTCGGTTTTTTGTTGTTCTTTCCATTACATTGTTGAATTCACTGTGTATATTGTTTCTCCGGTGCATACTTCACTCTGCATCCATTCATATAAATCTTCCTATGCTTCTTCATACTCATCATTCCTTATGGCACAAGGATATTCAATTACATGAATGTACCATGTCATTCTAACTGTTTCTGTCCACTTGTTCACTCTCTTCTCTCCAGAAGAAGGGATTCAGTTTCATTGGATGCATCAGCTATCAGGAGTCAGACATGCTCATTCATGACTTCAGCAAGGCGTTTGGGAAAGTCTCATGATATTTTTGTGGTCAGTGAAGAGAGATGACAGCAGGTTAAGAACTTGTTAACTGCCAGACCCAAAGAGTGATAATGAATGAATTGATAGCAACTTGGATTGGAGGTCTTTTGTGAAATATTCTGGTATTTATTATTAACCTAATTCCATTTGACATTTTCATCAAAGTCTTGGATCCTAATTTTTCCTTGTTTAGTTCTTCCCCCTGATCCTTCACCTCAGGATTTTGCTTGTATCTTATTTTCTACTCCTTTTTCTCCATTTCTCTTTGTCATTCCCCTCTTGGGTGTGCTTCCTGGGGCCTTCTCACCATGAAACATCCATCATTTCCAATAGCCTGTGATGTCAAAATAAAATAGAATGGGGAGCCACTAATCCATACATAAGGATACCTGGGTCCACTTATTGACTTAGTTTTAAAATGAAATGTTGTCTATACTTTATTGTATTTTAATTTATTTTGTTAAAAATTTCCCAATTACATTTTAATGTAGTCAGTTGCACTGTGTTGTCTTTAGTGTTTGACACCTCTGCCTTATAGCCCTGTCATCCTGGAATATCCCTTCACTATATTAGCTCCTTTCTCTTAATGATGAGTTTTTTTCTGGGGCAGCCATTCTGGGGAGAGGCTCAGGCTGGCTAACCTTCATTTCCTTCTCAGCTGTGCTTTTTTTTTTTTTCATTAGGCAATGGGGTTAAGTGACTGCCTAGGGTCACCACACAGCTAGTAAGTGTTATGTGTCTGAGGCCAGATTTGAACTGAGAGCCTCCTGAATTCAGGGCCGGTGTTCTATCTACTGCGACACCTAGCTGCCCCTCAGCTGTGCTTTTGACTGACTTCAACAACATGCCCCCTTGCCAGGTACAGTTCACCCCTCCCTCATCCCTCTTTTCAGCTCCCTTTTGCGTGTTATCTTCCCCCTACTAGAATATAAGCTCCTTGAGGGTAGGGATGACTTTTTTTTTTGCTTGTATTTGTATCCTCAGTCTAATCCTCAATTCCTAAAACCTAGTAAGAACTTAATAAATGTTTATTGACTTGCTTTGCCTCTTATAATCTCTGTCTCTTCCCTCTCTGTGTCTGTACTCTTCCCTGCTACTCCCTACCTTCCAATCTCTCCATCTTTTCCCTTTCCTTTGGAGGTTTTTCTTTCAGAGGATTGGAAATTGCAGCAGGGAGATGAGTGTTCTCTTCTGATAGCTGTTTATTATTCATTCTCAGCAGTTGGAAGATTTTGCAGTTGTTCCCAGAAAGTTCTAAGCAGCCATGTTATGACTGGCTAGGGTCCTGGCTGATGGAGAGATCAGATCTGTCTTTCCAGTTCTTTGGGTAGATGAGCAATGCGTCCAAAGCCAAACCCACTGCTCAGTGTGTGCAACCAGATTAGAAACTGATTCCTAATGGAATTTTTCATTCCAAAGTACTTTCTCTCTCTTTCTGTCTCTGTTTCTATCTCTATCTCTGTTTGTCTGTCTCTGACTTTGTCTCTGTTTCTGTCTCTGTCTCTCTGTCTCTCTGTCTGTCTGTCTCTCTCTTTCACAGTCTCTCTCTCATTGAAACCTTCTACCTTCTACAGATGGTTTGTACCATGACTGGGAAGTAGATGGGATCAAGGTCAAAACTTATGGTTCAACCTCCTAAATTATCTCCCTCCTCCCCCAAACTATAAAGAAGGAAGCAGCCGGCTGGAGATCCTAGAATCCCACAGAAATAGATTGGATTTCGTCAAGCAAGAATTCTAGAGGATGAACTTTGGCTGGACGGTCAATGGATGGTTGTGCCCTTTATGAAACTCACGTTCAGCAGTTCTTTTATAATTGGGAGAGAAAAAAATAAAACAAACCTGTGCTATGTCGAGATTCAGGAGAACTGGGTTCTAGTCTCAGTTCTGTCACTCACTTAGGCTGCCTGATTTTGGGTCTCTATGGGTATTGTTAGTTCTCTTACCTGTTGGATAGTGGTGGTGACAAGGCAGAGCTAGATTAAGTGTTCCGTGAGGTCTTTCTAGCCCTGAAATTCTACGAGGTTGCCATCTCATATTGGCCCATATTCTCTAAGGTAATACTTCTTAACTTTCCATGTCCAGCTGGTATTACAGCATCAATCAGCTAATCAACAAGAAATTATTAAACACCTAATAAGCACCAAGAACTGCAGTGGGGAAGGGGAGGGGAAAAGAGAAGAAGAACTTACGTGGTTCCTATTGTGTGCCACGTACTGGGCTAAGCACTTTACAAATATCTCATTTCAACTTCACAACGACCCTGTGGGTTAGGTGATTCTATTATCTCCATTTTACAGTTGAGGAAACTGAGGCAAACAGAGGTTAAGTGACCTGACATAACCTCTTGGTGTCCCTGGCAAATCTCTAAGATTGTAGGTTGCAGATGAGTTGCTGATCTGCATCATGATAGGAGTTTCCACATTGGGAATTCCCTACATCCATGAAAACACAAGACTATGCTCAGAACTGGATTTGAAGTCAAGAAGACTTGGGTTTAACTCCCACTTCTGACATTTTCCAGCTGTCTGATTATAGGCAAATACTTTTTGTTCCGAATGTCAGGTTCACTTAACTTCTCTGGGCCTCAGTTTCTTCATGTTTAAAATGAGGTAATAGAACCTACCTCATAGGATTATTATAGGCTTAAAGGAAATAATGCATCAAGTGCTTTGCAAACTAAATCACTATATAAATGTCGGTTTTTAGCAAGTTCCTCCTCACTGGAAGGCCTTAATCAAAAACTGGATGGCCATTAGTCAGATATGGCATAAAGGAGATTCTTGCTTAAATATCAGTTTGGTCATATGGTCTCTGGGGTTCCTTCTAGTTCTGAGATGCCATGATTCTTTTTCCTTTTATCTTTCTTTTCTGCAAGTAGCCTCTTTGTTATTGCACAGAGGATACAGGTATATCTCCAGTGAGAATCCAGTAACAGAATCTGGGCTTCAATAGTAGCAAGAGGGATTTAGGTTTGATATAAAAAGGAGAAGGCTGGATTGGGAGATAGAGGTCTTGGGTTAAAATTATGGCTCTGTTACTCATTCTTTTTATGTGACCCTGGGCAAGTCACTTAATTTCTCTGGGCTTCAGTTTCTTCAATTCTAAAATGAAGATGACCTCAAAGGTATTTTCTTTAAATCTATGATCCTATGACAGGTGAATTCATGAAGCACTCCATTTCTTTTTTAAACTGAACTCATCTTCTCCCTAAAACCCGCCTCCCCTCTTAGTACTTCACTATTGCTGTTGAGGGTACCAGCCTTCTCCTAGTCACCTAGGCTTGCAAAGTAGGTATAATCTTCAACTCCTCACTTTCTCTCCCTCCTTCCAATTATTACAAAATCTTGTCATTTTTACCTTCATAACGTCTCTTGCATATGCCCCCATATGTCCTCTGCCACAGGCACTTCCACTATTGAGATCCAGGACCTCATCACCTATTTTTTGTCGTTCATGACCCCATAGATCATCGCATGCCAGGCCCTTCACTCTTTCTCAAGTCTGCCCAGGTTCATGTTTGTTGTTCCTATGACACTATCTATCCATCTCATCCTCTGTCGTCCCCTTTTCCTTTGGCCTTCAATCTTTCCCAACATCAGGGTCTTTTCCAGTGAGTCCTATCATCTGATTATGGGACCAAAGTGTTTAAGCTTTAGCTTCAGCGTTTGACCTTTCAGAGAATAGCCTGAAAAAATTTATGGAAGTATTGGCTGAGTTGCTCTTGCTGTCCAAGGGACTTTCAGAAGTGACCTCCAGAACCACAATTCGAAAGCCTCAATTGAACAATTGTAGTCACCTGCTGGTTAATTTCTCTGCCTTAAGTCTCTCCCCACACCAGTAGATCTCCCACTCAGCTGTCAAACTGATCTTCCTGAAGTCTGACCGTGTTGTCCTCTATTCAGTAAACTCCAGTGACTCCCTATCAATGCCAGGATCAAATATAAAATATGTTTGGCAAACAAAGCTCTTCATAACCTGGCTTCCTTCTATGTCTCTAGTCTTTTTACAGTCTATTCATCTCTCTATCCAGGTGGAGAACCTGCAGCCTCGAGGTCACATGTGGCCTCAAGTGCGGTCTTTTGACTGAGTTCAAGTTTTACAGAACAAATCCTTTTATTAAGGGGATTTGTTCTGTGAAGTTTGGATTCAGTCAAAGGGCCACACTTGAGGACGTAGAGGGCCACATGTGGCCTTGAGCCTGCAGGTTCCTCAACCCTGGGCTATACTCTGTGATTCAGTGATCCCGGCTTCTTTGCTATTCTTCACATAAGACAATGTATTTTCTAGCTCCATGCATTTTCTCTGGATGTTCTCCATGACTGCAATGCTCTCCCTCCTCATCTCTGCCTTTTAACTTTCCTGGTTTCCTGCAAGTCCCAGCTAAAATCTCATCATCTGTAAGAAATCTTTCCAAATTCCCATTAAAGCCAGTGCCTTGCCTCTGTTGATTTTCTTCAGTTTATCATGCTTATACCTTGTCTGTGCATGGTTGTTTGTATGTTGTCACCCTCAGACCGTGAGCTCCTCAGCTGTAAGATCTGTCTTTTTTCCCTTTCTTTATCTCCTCAGAGCATGGCACAGTGTGCCTGGTGCACGGCAGGCTCTTATTAAATGCTTGCTGTCTGACTGTGATCCTATAAATGGTTAGAGAGTGATTGAGGACTGAAAACAATTACTAAGAGAAATGATAAGGGGCAGCTAGGTGGCACAGTGGATAGAGCACCAGCCCTGGAGTTAGGAGGACCTGAGTTCAAATGTGGCCTCAGTCACTTACTAGTTACACAAACTTGGTCAAGTTGTTTCATTGTTTGCCTTCCCCCTCCCTCCTAAAAGAATAATGGTGAAATTACCCTTTTGAAATCATTAAGAACCAGAATAATATCTGTCTACCTAGAATGGTTTAGAAAAGAAACATAGTATAGTGAAAGGTTTTTGTGTTAAGGGCCCCTTTGGCATTCTGGCAAAGCCTGTGGATTCCTGCTCAGAATGATATTTTTAAATGCATAAAATAAAATATATAGGCTGACAAAGGAAAGGAATTATATTGAAATACAGTTATCAAAATATTAAAAAAAAACAAGTTTGTGAACCCACGGTTATGAACTCTTGCTATAGTAGACATAGAATTAGAAAATGGGGTTCAAATCCAGTGGGACAGTAACTTCACCTCTATTGTAAAATAAGGGGATTGGACTCAATAAATGACCAGTAAGGTCTGTTTTAGCTCTTAACCTTATGATGCTCTGATTGAAGGCAATAGGATAGGATAGATGACCTTAAAAGGTTCATTGGATACTTGTATACCTATTAGCATAATTTCCCCCACCACAGT